ACCTCAACAGCGTCCGCTATGATATTGTGTGTGCCTCTAATATGCAATATCTTTATATTGAATGGCTGTAATGTTAAAGCCCACCTCAACACTCGCATGTTTTTAAACTTTACATTTTCTATAAAGTTAACGGGTTATGATCAGTGAAAATTTTGACTGGATGAACAGAGTTTGTTTAAATAAACTCTAAACTTTTCGATTGCTAATACTATTCCCAAGGCCTCCTTTTCGACGGTGGCGTAAGACTTTTGATAAGACTTGTACTTATAAGAAAAATAACACACCGGGTGGAGCACTTCACTTTTGTTCTGCAAGAGGACCGCTCCCACACCACTATCACTGGCGTCAACATGAATTACAAATGGTTTGCCGATATCAGGAGCTCGCAAGACGGGAGCGGTACACAAGAGGTGCTTCAAGTTGTCAAAGGCTTGTTGACAGTCCTCTGACCACCTGAATGTCCGTTTAGTACTCAGCAAGTCTGTTAAAGGTGCGGATATCTGGGAAAAGTTCTTGCAGAAACGTCTATAATATCCAGCCATTCCCATGAAGCGCATCAGGCCTCTCCTGTCGACGGGCGTGGGATACTGGAGGACCGCTTCCACCTTCGCTGCTACAGGTGCGACCTGACCCTGACCGATCACGTGACCCAAGAAGGTGACATGAGCATGTCCGAATTCACTCTTCTGCAAATTTACCGTGAGGTTTGCGGCTGACAAGGCGGAGAAGAGTGCACGTAAACGTACCAGATGTTCCTGCCAAGACTCGCTCCAGATTACAAGATCGTCTAGGTAACAACGAACGCCTTCTAAGTCCGCAGTCAGGTAGTTCATGAGACGCTGAAAGGTCGCCGGGGCGTTCCTCATACCGAAGGAAGAACCTTGAACTCGTAGAGACCGACAGGCGTGACAACGCAATCGGCCTCGCCCTCTCTGTCAACGGAACTTGGTAATATCCCTGGAGGAGATCCAACTTCGACAGGTGGCGTGCCTTCCCCAGGTCATCAATAATGTCGTCCATCCTCGGGAGGGGGAACGAGTCCGCCACTGTTACCGCATTCACCTTCCTATAATCTACACACAGACGGTAAGTGCCGCCACTCTTGGGAACGAGGACTATAGGTGATGCCCAGGGACTCAGGCTGGGACTAATGAACCCCTGCTCCTTCAGGCGCTGAACCTCCGTCTGCAGGAAAGCCCTCTTCTCTGCATTGAGGCGATAGGGAGCTTGACGTACTGGCTGAGCTTCCTTAGTCTCCACATCATGTTCCAGCAGTGGGCAGAGACGAGGTACATCACTGAATAGTTCCTCATACTCCTGCAGAAGAGAACGAATGTTTGCTGCTTGGGCAGCAGAAAGGTGTTTAAGTTTATCATCAGGTTTAGCTAAAATTGTCGAATTTATAAGGTTAGGCTCCACAATCTTTACATTATCACAAGTGTCATTACTGATGTTTGAAGGTACAACTATTGAAACATTTCGTACCTCATCCTTATATCACCCCGTTCATGGTACTTTTTCAGGAGGTTTACATGTACATGACGGTTTTTCTTACGCCTCTTAGGTGTTTCAATCACATAATTTGTATCACTCTCGTTCGTTTTAGAATACGAAATGGACCCGTATAGCGAGACTGAAGAGGCTGGTTAGGAAGAGGCAGCAAAGCCAGAACTAAATCACCCTCATTGAAGGTTCTAACTTCAGTATTATTTGCTTTATCAAAATGTTCTTTCATTTTAGATTGAGCTTTACCCAAATGATTATGAGCTATTGAGATAGCTGTTCGTAATCTATGCTTAAATTTATTCACATAAGCAGCTACTGGAATGTCCTCCTCTTCAATTAACCAGCACTCCTTTAAGACCTTCAGTGGTCCACGCACTTCATGGCCGTAAATTAATTGAAATGGAGAATAACCAAGGCTCTCTTGAACACTGTCCCTTACTGAAAATAACAGCAAATCTATTCCTTCATCCCACTCAGAACCAGTCTCTAAACAAAAGGCTTTAATCATAGTCTTTAAAGTATAGTGAAACCTTTCAACTACCCCTTGACTCTGAGGATGATATACGGTGGACCTGCACTGCTGTATACCCAAGGACTTCATAACCTGTTCATACAGTCTGGACGTAAAATTTGACCCTTGATCTGATTGTATTACAGTAGGCAGACCAACTTGTGTAAAAAAAAATTATCAATGCCTTCACAACATTCTTAGTAGTGATGCGTCTAAGAGGAATAGCTTCAGGATATCGGTGGCCACATCAATTATGGTTAACAGAAACTTGTTACCCCGTTTAGTCTTTGGAAGAGGACCTACACAGTCAATAACTATTTTGCTGAAAGGCTCTGTTAACACAGGGATAGGTTGCAAGGGATATGGTTTGATACCATCTCCGGGTTTGCCTTTTACTTGGCAGATATGGCATGACTGGCAATAGTAACCAACATCACGTTTCATTTTCGGCCAATAAAAATGAGCTAAAATCTTATGGTAAGATTTGTTGACTCCCAAATGACCACTAATGTCATGTGCAATATTCAATACATCAGTTCGAAGGGGCTTTGGAATGACAATCTGATGTACTATCTTACTGGTATCGTCTGCAGATATATTATAGGGCTTATATTTACGCATAAGAACACCTGACTGGAGATAATAGCAGGTACTGAAAATTGTCTATGTTACTTGTATCAGTAAGCCTATCATAAAATGTTTGCAACTCAGGATCTTTATATTGTTCTTCAATGAGCTTTTCTCTAGTAACTGGCATGTCTTTAAAATTTACTATATTAGAATTATCAGAAGCAGAAATGTTTGAATCTTTGTCAGATGATTTAAAGAAATCTGCCAAGGTGAAATCCTCGGTGAATATATCATTAAGGCTCTCTTTGGGTAATGCAGTACCGGCGGTAAGCGCCTTGGTAGGAGGGGAGGACCTACGACTTGCACTGCGGGTGACAGCACATGCAGGAAAGAGATCGGGATACTCCCTCTCTAAATCTACGGTGTTGTTCTCCTCTGTCGGGCAAGGTGAAACTACAGGCAAGGCCATACCTTATCACCAACTAGATCATTGCCCATAAGGAGCGAAATGCCATCACTTGGTATATTATCAACAACACCTAAATTTACGTACCCAGTTATCAATTTAGATTCAAGTAGACTTTACATATGGGTATACTCTTGGACCCTACCAGTCCATTAATAATAATCATCTCTCCATATAGCAGTCAGGGTTAGGAACCATCTCCTTGAGTACCAATGATATATCTGCAGCCGAGTCCCGTAGAATAGTGACTGGGGAAGACGACTTACACGACTCATCGACACTAAGAAATCCTGTGGAACAAAATGGTCTAAATGAAGGTGTCACAACTTTAGATTCAGTAATGGAAAAGGGAAAAGGCCACGTTTATCACAAGGATATTTCGATGTAACCTTTGTCGTCTTATTAGCACTGACATGAAAGATACGTTTGTTATTATCAGAACGCTTATTTGTCAATCTAAAACAGTCATTTATGGCATGACCATATTTCTTGCAATAACGGCAAAAAGAAAAATTCTCACCGCGAGAAGCAACCTTCTTACTCTCATCACCACCTGTTTCTGACTTTGTATGAACAGTCCTGTGGGTATCTGGCAGTCCAGTCCTCCTGGAACTATACTCCATCTCTTACCATTATGCTGGATAGACTGGAATGAAGGCTCATTAGATCTGCAAGAGTAGTTGGGATTAGTGAGAGCGAAATGATCGGCGGCTTTGCCGACCTCGGCTAATGTGCGCAGACCACGTTCGTCAATGTGAGAGCGAACTTTTACAGGCATACTTTTCTTAACTTCCTCTAGTACAAAGAGCTCGAGTAATTTATCGTACTCGAGTGCATCAAGTTCACTCTCGACCCATTTCTTACACAAAAGTTGCTTTTGGCGAATAAATTCAACAAAGGTTTGTTTGCTATCTTTACGATAATAACGGAAATCTTGTCTGTAAGCCTCTGGTACCCTTTTATAAACATTTAAAACAGCTTGTTTTACTATATAATAACATTGTGACTGTACCAAATCCAGAGCTGAGAAAACCTCTTGAGCTCTGCCAACAAATGCACTGTGAACAAGCAATACCCACTTATCTTCGGGCCAACCATGCAAGGCAGCAACTCGCTCAAAATGAATGAAAAAGTACTCAGGCTCTGTCTCATTGAATTTAGGAACAAATTTAATTGCATCCTCTATACGAAAATGAGGATGGTGTTCCCTATCAGGTCTCTGCATGAGACGCATCCGCTCATTCTCTGCCTTAAACATTTTCAAATCTATCTTACGGCTCTCCAGGTCATACTGGCGGGCCATCGTGACATCCCGAGGACACAAGGGCTCTAAATCCTCCTCACTTAACACCTTGTGTTCTAATAAATACTCGGTCACTAATGTACGAATTTCATCCTTCCGTAAGGATGACCGAAAAAAGGGATGCAATAATGAGCGGCTAACTCACTCCACTGGGCTTTAGTTAAACCGACCAGCACTTCGGCTGACGGATTTGCAACAAAACTTTCAACGCTGAACATAATGAATCACGAGAAGAATAGACAGGCGAAAATAAGCTAGCTAGCTAGATAGAAAAATACGAAATGCGTGAACAATCGCAAAACCTGTACATCAAATCACTAAAACGTACGATTAAAGGCAACCAAGAAACAGCAAAATGCCTAATATGGTCACCAAGCAAAAACAAGTCAAATATATACAAAGACTATTGTTTACAAAACCAAAGATCACTTAAATGCACTCTGCATGCACAAGAAAGAAGCGACTCGGTGTCTTAATGACCAAAATACACGAGACGTAATGAAGTCAATTGCACGATCACAAAACAACAAAACCAACGGGAAACATGTTACAACGGCTGAGAAAAAACACGATAAAAGTGCAATACCAAGGGAATCACATGTTACAAATGGCAAACAAAAGTGATTAACAAAATGCGAATTGAC